TATCATTTGTTAATTAGAAAGCGTGATGATCAGAAAAATTTTTTTATATAAAAAAATTTAATCGTACAAATTTGTACAATAGCCAATTTAAGGGATAGCATGAAAATTTAATTGACGTTTTTAAATGAACTTGATATTAATAATGTTATATTTCTTTTAATGTGTGAAATTTCATCATCACCATCATCATTTGTTTCATATTCTTCATTAAATATAGTTAAAGACATTTTCCTGATGATATTGCATGAATACTTGTCAATTTCTCCAAAATCATGAATAGTTTTTTCAATACTCCTTTTTTTTTAAAAAAATATTAATTTGAAAATTTAATTAAAGAATAGTTGATTTATTTCAATAAAATTCAAAAAAAACAAAAGAACTTACTTCCCTTATATATTTTTTTTGAAAGCGATAGTATTTTTTAAACTTCGGGCAAATCTTTGGTGATCTGCAAATTTGTTACATGAAAGAATGACCATTTTTTGACTTTTAAAGAAGGTTTTACAAAAACAATATTAATAGCAGCCGAATTTTTATTTATAGATCGTATTATTTTGACCTAAAGATCATTTTCATATTAGGAAGTGATACACTCCGAACTAAATTTGGGGTGGTTTATATGTAAAGGGTCGATATATTGACCCTTTGACCATTTAAGGGATACTAATACAGTGCAAGTCACTTAGTCCCACAACTTTTTATTGGTCATGTAGATTTTTAAATTCTCCAAAAATAGAAATGCAACACCCCAAAAATAAATCGTATATTTGAAGCCAAGACCTTCCTCTACAAAATCACGATTTCATTTCATTGATATGTCATGTTGTTGTGGAGGATTTGAGCTTTAAAGTTGCACAAAGTTTACCGAATTTACTATTCTTGGCCCTAAAATGGCCAGTTACACACAAAAAAGTTTATCAAAAATAGACGAATTGAAACAAAATAAAAATTTGAAAAATTTATTTTATATTGCAGATATTTTGTCATGTGAATTTTCCAGATGAACGGGAAGATAATTAATTATCTTTATTATTAAAAAAATACAAAGTTCATTTATTTTAATTTAATAAATAAATTATTGCATTGATCAAAGAATGTGCAAAATATACTGCTATCTCCCATCTAGCACCAAAAGTATATTTTATGGAAGTATATATATATTTTATTTCTATTGCTAATGTCAAAATTTCATATTATCTAATTAATATAAATGTGTGTAATGATCTTTGAAAATCATGTGACCATGAAATTTTTATTGCATTTTTGATTGGAAATTTTTTCTCAAAATTGGCCACTGTGGCGCAGAAAGTTGTGGGACTAAGTGACTTGCACTATATGATTTTTATAGATTTTGTTGATCGAATAAATTTCTGTGATACAAGTTTGTCTACTCTATTCAATAGTAATCAAAATGCAACGAAAAATAATCTCAGGACTTAATTTAGCATTAAACACTTATCTCCTTAAACCTCATATACTATTTACAACATCTAGAGCAAGATCAATAACTATGACGTCGAAAACAAAATTTATAACAAGTCCATTTAGTGTCTTAACTAATCACAATAACTATTATTATCATTCAAAGGCTTTCCAAACAAGAGAACACAGAACAAATAATTTGATGAGTGATGTAGCAATAAAGTGTAGGCAACCAACGTTAAAACTTTTTAAAAATAACCAACAAGGTAATATTTTAAAAAATCTTCAGAACAGAATATATATATAATTTCACCCTATTTATTTTATTTATTAGTTTTTTACTAGTTACTTCTTTTTTATAGTTCGTGGAATGTTTATTCGAACAGAAGTAACACCAAACCAAGATTCATTAAAATTCATTCCAGGTGTTCCAATTATGGATGAAGGGGGTACAGCTGAATTTTTATCAGGGAATGAGGCATCTAAATCTCCATTAGCAAAAAGCCTATTTCGAATTGAAGGAGTTAAAGGAGTATTTTTTGGACCAGATTTTATTACTGTTAGTAAGGATCCAGATATACCATGGCAATTGATGAAGCCTGATTTATATGCAAATATTATGGATTTTTTTTCAACGGGCGAACCTATTTTATTGGAGGCACCACCACCATCTGATACACAAATAAATGATGATGACTCTGAGGTTGTTCAAATGATAAAAGAACTTTTGGACACTAGAATTAGACCTTCAATACAAGATGATGGTGGTGATCTTGAATATAAAGGATTTGAGAATGGAATTGTTAAACTTAAATTGAAGGGAGCCTGTAGATCTTGTGACTCATCCGTCGTTACTTTGAGAAATGGAATTGAAAATATGTTGATGCATTATATACCAGAGATCACAGGAGTTGAACAAGTACTGGACGAGGAGGAACTTATTTCACAAACAGAATTTGAAAAATTAGAGCAGAAGCTAAATAATGCATAAAAACATACTATATCATTGTATTATTATTATTATTAAATATATAATTATTTTATAAAAAAATGTATATTTAAGCAAGACAATAAAATTTGACAATCTTTCCCAAAATTCGAACATAATTACAATACAAAAAAGGCCGTGCTTTAAAGATTTTAAATGATCAATGATGATGATGCAATTTAGAGTAAAAAAAAAAAGAGTGTTTGCTTGAATTATAAAAATATAATTAATAAAAATAATCTTCATCTTGACTAACTTGATTCATAAATATATTTTTTCATCCATTTACATTATATGGGCATACTGCAACAAAACCAGACAAAGTGAACAATTGTATTTCAGAGTTCAAAATTTAGTGTTAACATTTTCTAATTTTCATTATTCAATAATTAAATCAATTCATTTTATTGTTTGTGTAGAGGTTGATACATTATTTAATTCTGACCTTCCATTACTTAATTCATAACTAATTCATAACACATAATTTATTTAGGAGGAATTTGTGATGATTATAATAAAAGAAAATAGAGGATTATTCTTCTATGTTAATGATTGTCATATTGCATCATATGACTCTACACATTCAGGATGTGTTTTAAATAAAATTTTCCTCTGATTGACATTGAAACAAAGTAAATAAGCAACATAATCCCATTTTATGTTGAAACATTATAAAAACATCACCAGTCCACTTACTTTCAAGTAAAGAATCAAACAACAAAATCATCCAATAATCATTGTTTAATCAATAAATATTTACAATATTTTCATTCATAACAACAACATTTAAAAAAAAATGCTTACTTCTATAGAAGCAGTCCAGCAGTGTATTGACAAAAGTTTGGGGTGAGGTGTTGGGATGCAAAATTCTGATTGCCAATTTGAATTTTTGTGTGAATTTAAAATTCATAAATACATTTCTATACTACTAGATTGCAACAATTTGTATCTTCGTTGATTAGCTCTGGATATCTTGATACTTCTTGACATTATTTATTTAATTCCAAATGCTATCAAATTTTGGTTTATTGCAACTCAGGGTTTGTGTATTGCTATGAATATATTGAATGTTTACCCAAAAATGCCCAGTTGTGACAGAACCCTCCAAAATACATGACGATTGTATGGAACTTGTAATATTATACAGTCCTTTCCTTCTCTTAAAGATTCATATACCTATAGGTTTGATTCGTATAAGCAATAAACAATTTAATTGAAAGAAACATTCTGAAATAATGATTTTTAATAAAAGATTTACAAATAATAGGTTTAAAATATTAACAAGTTTTAGAAAGGGAAGGTGTGAGCCACATCAAAAAAATAATGGTTTTGTTTGCTACTACTAAGATCATTAATTAATCGGGAAAAAATTAGTAATGGTTTGCTAAGATCTCCTTAATTAATTGATCAAGTTCTTAAAAAAAAAGATATATATTGATCTTTTCTTATTTTTGTAAATAATCATTAAATTCATGTTGGTTTCAACACGGAAAAAGATAGCAGAGAAAATCAAGCACAAGTTAAAAAGGCTGGCAAGAAAAAAACGGAAGGCTATCAGGTGTCATTGAAAGTAGAAAGGTTTTACGACCTTGGAAAGAAAATAAATACATTCATTGACCTCAAAGTCAATTTTTACACAAAAAAAAAAAATGAACATTTGCCTTCCCCAAAAATCAAGTTTAAACAAAATTTGATTTTCAACATCAACATCAACATCAACATGCCATGTTGACTTCTCTCCTCCCTTCCCGGCATGATCATATCATGATCAAATAGAGAGTATTTATCACAACGCAACAAACTTCGTGAAATTGCAAATTCCTTTTTATAGACAAAAATCGAGATTAAATGTTGCACCGGATTGATTCTTACGTTAATTAAAAAAAGGATTTTATGGATAAACAATCATCATTAATAAAAAATTTATTCTTGGAAAACCTGTTGCCAAAATTATTTATCTTTGATCTTGACTATACGATCTGGCCTTTATGGTAGGTAATCTTTATAACGGTTTTTTGTTAATTTTCTTTAACCAGCCAGCTAACCATTAAATTGTTTGTTGTTTGTTTAGGATCGATACACATGTTTCTGGTCCTGTTTTCAAAGCTGACCCAAATAAACCTTTTATTGCTCTTGATGGGTAAACAATATTAGTAAATGTTTGAAAAATATTTATTATTTATTGAATGTTAAACATTGTTTTTTTTTTTTTGACATTAGATATTCCACAAAAATTCAATTATATAATGATGTTCCTAAAATATTTCAACTTATAAAAGGTTGTTCAGATACCAAGTTAGCAGTTGCTTCCAGAACCGAAGAACCAGAATGGTAAGAATCCTTTTCAAACTTTTTATAAAAAAATACCAAAAAAAAAAAATTAGTAATAATAATAAATAATAAAAGGGCGAATGAAGTTTTAAAGGTAATGCCATTTCCTCAAATAGATCAAGAAGGAAAGGTTATTTCTATCAAAAAATCAATAAGTAACAATAAGGATTATAAAGATAATAATAATGAATATTATACGTTAAGTGACATGATTGATTATGCAGAAATTTATCCAGGGTCTAAAGTAAACCATTTTCGATCCATACATAAAATTTCAGGCATCCCATATAGCGAAATGATTTTTTTTGATGATGAATCACGAAATAAAAATGTTCAACAGGAATTAGGTGTTTATTTTGTCTATGTAAAAAATGGATTAACAATGGAACTTTTTTTGAATTCAATAAAAAATTTTGCTAAACTTAAAAAACAAAACAATTAAAAGAAGAAAAATAAAATATACATAGAAATAAAATTGTATTTCATTTATTACTACAAAAAATTAAATAATAATAATAATAAAACAATGTTTTTAACTTTTAATTTTCTTTTGCTTTAAAGGCACCATGACCAAAAGATAATGGTATGACTTGAGGAAGATTTACCCGAGCTAATTCTGTTAAAGTTTTAGCTTCAAGTACAATCAAAAAACTTGATATTTTTAAACCATCAAAGATAACACTTAACAATACACCATCATCTTCTTCATGATCTTCACCAGGTTCAGGAACAAAAATTGGTTCTGATGGATAACAGTTTTCTGTACCCCACATAGCAACTACTTCTTTTGTATCTAAATCCTATAAAGTTACAATGATGATGATGATGATGATGACGGATGTTTATATTATTATTATAATTATTATTATTATTATTATTAAGAGTATTATGTTATTAATTAAACTTACACTTTTAACAATCGAATCCCATATCTGACCTTCTTGACCTGCAGCTTTTGCTGATAATCCAATACCATAAACATACCGATATCGATTACCTTTATATTTTGGATTAATTCTATATGAAAGTAGACGTTAATTAATTTAATTTATTAGATAAAAAATCATTCATTCATTTTTTATACATAATATTAATTGCTTACGTTGGTAATTCCAAAGTTGAATCAGCACATCTAACGTAATTAGCAACAGGCCACGGATAATAAACTTGTTGATTGCTATTTGTAGACCATAGGAAAGCTGATACGGTATTTTGTATAACTTCAAAACTTGAAGACTGAGGGTTTTTTGCAAATTTTACAGATTCAATTTGAATATTCTGTAAAGCAAATCTACGAACTTCACTCAACGGTAATCCACGGACTAAACCACCGCTTAGATTTTCGATAGTAAGATAATGTGCTATATCCGCATTATCATAACAAGACATATCCACAAATATATTATCTTCGTCATCCTCAAATGCATTTATATGATGAAATCTAAAATAGGCATGCATTTTTATATGTTATACGTTTTAATCATTAATATTTGTAAAAAAAATTAAACTAATATAATTGATAAATTGAATGATTATATATATCTTACGCAAAACACGCGTCTGATTTATATGTTAAGATGTGTTGTTTTTTAGTTCTCGAAATCAAATGAAAGAGAGTTGGTTCTTCTGGATTAAAAGCAAAATAATCTAAAATGTTGTCAGACCATTTAAAATTATAAGTAGAACTTGTCCCGTAAAGTGGATATATAACCTTTAATTGATTTATTGATTGATTAATTTGCAAATCTCAACAAATTAATTAAACGTTATAAATATATTTTTAAAAATATACATACTAAAATAATGAATCTTTGTGTGACTGAGAAGCTATGAATATAAGAAGGTTTAGCAAAAACTGTGCCTATTAATTCACCATTTGGATTAGAGCTAGTAATTGAAAAGAAATTATATTTTGTTCCTAATGCATGATATTCCATATTAAAATTTATTAACTCTCCAGTTTGTTCATCGTAGTATGAATGAGGTGCTGCATGATCTCCTTTAAAATTTGCATTTATCTCATCCCAAGAATAAACACGTTCAGGAATTAAATCATTTGCATCAAGTTCCACAACCTAATAAATGTAATGTAAGTATATTTTTAATTAAAAACAAAAAAATAAAAATAAATCATATCAAATAATATTCTTGATTTTGTACATACTTGACTTGCATGATTTTGACAGAAGATTTTTGGTTTTTCACCAGGTTTATTAAATGGAAAATTAAGGTTAATATTGGCACAACATGGCTCCATTTCAGGTTTATCTGTTCTTTTCTGACCAAGAAGCTTGGCCAACGGTGTTTGACTATATTATATATATATATTTGTGTATATGTAAATATATATCAATTAAAATATTCTATCATTAAATTAATAATAATGTCATTAATGGTTTTCTTCTATTGTCTGTTATAATTACTTTACGTTGGTTTTAAACAATGAAAATGGATGCCTAGTTATAATTCCATGACGATCACGTATTTTGGATTCAAATTTTCTACTAGTAAGCTTTGAACGATAGGTTACTTTATTATTTTCACCGTCAATATCAAATCTATTTACGAGTGGTAATCTAAATTTTTTTTTTAAAAAAAATTTTTTCAACTAAATCAATAAAATAATCAATTAATAACTTTTAAAAAATAGATTATTTATAAGATCTTAATAATCTTTCTTTACCCATCGAACCAATGTCCAATTGAAAAAGTTGCAGTACCACTTTCATAACCACCGCCTTCAGTTTGTATCATCTTGTTATATTTTATATCATATGTTCCAGGCCCGACAGTGTAAAAATCACCATTCAACCAAGAAGGAAGGTTTCCATTGGCATTTACTTCTACAGGCTTGAGTGTTTCTTTTGAATTTTTAAAACCCTGAATTTAAATATTTACAAATATCAAAATATTATCAGTTTGTTTTTCAAAAAAGTGACAAAGTAAAAAAACTATCATTAATTTATTATTTACATTGCGGTAAAGTAATTCATTTTCGTTTAATTCTATTTTTTGAATATCTTCTTCAGTCGTAGTATCATCAATATAAATTTTCGGAGGTTCTGTGAAATTTTGTAATTCTACAGCTCCTTTAACTTCATTCATTATTTTTCCAATAAAGAAAATTTTTTTTACCTATTACTATTTATGGACGAAAAGATTCTCAATTTCCTAAAAGATAAAGTTGCGTTTCACTGGGGAAATTTGTTTAAACTTTATTTAATATTAACAAAATGCAGTAAATTCTTCATGTTTAAGGGTTAGAGTAAAGTCATGTGATTTCTATATGATCAGCAAGGATGAACCGTCTAACGATCTCACGTGATATTTGCAAATGTGAGAGGTCATCATTACTATTTTTAGTAACATGTAATATTCAAAAATCAATATTCAATATTTTATTAATCAGTTATATCATTTATTATCTTGTATCATTTATTATTTTCAGAAAAAGCGTTTATTTTTTGTATCGTAAACAATATATTCATATTTCAGTTATATCATTGATTGTATCATTTATTATCTCAGGAAAAACGTTTCTTTTTTCTCATTAGTTATATCATTAATCACATCATTTATTATCTCATTAAAAGAAAAGTCATTCCTTTTTTGTATCGTAAACAATGAATTTATGTTTTTATTATATTTTGTATGCATAAAAGGACTGATTTCACAATCTTCCGAACAACTTGTATAAAAGATCAGTGTAAATAAATAAAAACCCCATCTACATTTATAAAATCTTTATTAATCATTTGATACTAAAAATTTAAGGTCACATGTTCTTGATAAGTCGGCCGATTCTCTCAATAAGTCGGTTCATCATACCCAGCCATTCATAGCCGACTTATCGAGTTTACTGTGTGGTTGGAAATTTATTTAACATTATCGTTTAAAGTACTTGATAATTCGATTTTTCCGTAAAAAATAGTATATATCAGCCACTAAATTATTTAAAACATGCTTTTTGTCAAGCCGAATTTTTTTCCTGGTGACCGATTTGTCGAGTTTAATATTGATAAAGTTTTAGCAATTTTTTAATCTCGTCATTCTGTGGGCGAAACTATTTCGGATTTTTTTAAAATATGAATATGTGGGGAAAATTTGAGAGTAGCAGTTTATGTAACCAAATTAATCCTTTGTGACTTGTAAATAATTAATACATTCTATGGCATAATAATGTATATTGTAAATCATCATTTACAAATTAATAATCTGAACAAAAAAAAAATCACATCATTTAATTTTAGAAAGATTTACCTTCTAAAAAAAAAAAAGTCGGCATAAACAAAATAATGAACTACCCAACACCAACTTTATCAGAGTTAAAGGAACAGACTACACTTGGACAATCAACGATTGAAAAAATCATTGAAGGATTTCTTTCTTCATATCATAATGGATTGACAAAAGATCATTCTACAATGGTACCATCATATATTACCCGTCTTCCTACTGGCATAGAGACTGGCGATTATCTTGCCTTGGATTTGGGTGGTACAAATCTAAGAGTTGCTGTGGTGACATTGGTAGGTCTTGGTAAAACTGAGTTGATGTATAAACAATATCGAATTCCCGATGAATTGAAAACAGGAACAGTTGAAGAATTATTCGATTGGGTGGCATTAGCTGTTAAAGGGTTATTGGATGATTCGGGTCATAATAATTTGGAGAATGATGGCCAGACGAGTAATCTTAACAAACCCAAAGAATTGTATATGGGAGTTACTTTTAGTTTTCCAATAAAGTAAGAATTTTACATATATATTAATTGAAACATTGCATATTTTAATTAATATAAAGAAAACTGAAAAAAATAATTAAAAATAATTAATGATTAGTCAGACTGCAGTCAAACAGGGTGTTGTTATGCAAATGGGAAAGGGATTCAATGTTATAGGATTAGAAAATCATGACGTAGTTGAATTATTACAAGCTGCATTTTCTAGAAAGGTTATTGTTGTTGTTATTATTATTATTATAAATTTAGATTTTTTTCTTATTGATCTTTTTTTGTTTTAGGGTGTCAAAGTCCATATTGCAGTCATAGTCAATGATACAGTTGGCACACTTGTGGCAAATGCTTACAAAGATCAAAATACAATTATTTCAGTGATTTTAGGTACAGGAACTAACGCTGCATGTATTTCTACGACCTCATCAATTTCAAAAATCAAATTTCCACCAAATACACCAGAATATATGATTGTCAATACTGAATGGGGTATAATGGGTGCTGATTTCTTGCCTTTTATAAAATATGACAAGGTTCTTGATCTGCAGAGTAAAATCCCAGGATTTCAACCTTTTGAAAAAATGGTTAGTGGAATGTATCTAGGTGAATTGGTGAGACTGACAATAGTTGATCATGTGAAATCTTTTAATTTGTTTGGTGGGTTCTTACCAGGAGGAATGGAAATACCATATAATTTTTCTACTATACAAATGTCTGACATTGAAAGGTATGATTATGATTGATTATGGTTATTTAATTATTGGAGTTTTAATAATTATATTTTTAATTTTTTAAAAAAAAAATAATTTAGTGACAAAACAGCCAATCGCTCAGAAATATTAAAAATTTTATTAAAAGGATTTAAATTTCCTGATGATAAAAAACCAAGTAAAGAAGATATGAAAATAGTTTGTGAAATTATAAAAGCATATTCTAGACGCTCAGCTCAACTATCAGCTGTAGCTGTGGCTTCGTTGATTAAACTACAATGTCCAGATTTCCCTTCAGTTGAACGAGATATCAGAGTAGCAATTGATGGATCAATGTATCATAAATACTATAAATATGCTGAAAAAATGAGTGAATTTTTAAGACAAATTCAAGACATTACTGAAGATAAAAGAACTAAATTAAGTGAAATTGAAAATGGTGGATGCACTGGTGCTGCCATAACTGCTATGATGTATTCTAATTATTAATTTAATTATTTATGCACATAGACTAATTTATTAATTTATTGCAGATTAATAAAATGCTTATATTTAATGTGTATGGTAAGTATAGTATTTAATTATTTCTGGTAAATAAATAAATCTGCCTCATTAAATAAATGTCTGTTTTTTTTTCAGGGATTTCTCCCCAATTGTCAAGTTTATTATTTTGTTCCATTAACTCAATTATTTCATTGGACTCTTTATCTGAGCCTTCTGAAATTAATCCAGGCATATTTATTTCATAATTAAATGGTTCTTCATCCTGAATTTATTCTAATCTATAATATAGTTCAGGTCCTTCTTCATGGTCAAACCCATTAACAATTTGAAATTGTCCCTGTGATTGTTTCTCCTCAGTTGGTTGTATGTCTGGTATTTCTTCCAAGTTAGGTTGTTGATTATTCTTGATGGCATCATTTGTATTTGGTTGTTCAAGAATAATAATTGATTTAGGTTGTAATTGATTTCTTCCTCCCAATTTTCTAGCTTGTCAAATCTTTTTGCCATTTCCGAATTTCTGTTCTTAAAAATTTATAAATATTTGTTTACCTGATTATTATTTTTATTTAAATTTCTTAATCCGAAATTTAAAATCTCTTTGGTAGTAGGTCGTTTGTTCTTGGGTAAATGTAATTTATAGTGTATAGAGTGTATGTAATTATTAGAATTTTCCATTCAATGTTTTATTTTGTCTGATATGTGAAGATTGAAAGTTAGGGAACTTCTCCCTCTTTAAATAGTGGTTGAAAATTAGATAAGAAGTGATGTTTGATCTATAGTTTCATTCTCAGAACTCTTTTGTTTTCTTTATCTTTTATTTTTGGTGTCTTATTATTATTATAAGATGATTGGTTCCTGCCATTACTGGTGCTGTGAGAATACTATTTCTAGATGTTCTAAATGTTCTTCAAAACTTTTAGAGTAGATATTTATGTCATCCAAATATAGTACTACATATGTAAACTCAATAAGTCAGCCAAAATTTTCACCCCATTTTCTTAATATTTAAGTAATTTAATTTGATAAGTTGGTTTACTCAATAAGTCAGTCATATGAGCTCACCCCACATGACCGACTTATCAAGTTTACATATGTACAAATCGTCTGATAACACTATTCATTAATCTTTGGAAAGAGGCTGGTGCATTGTTCAAGCCAAAGGCATTCTATTAAATTTGTATAATCCATGCTATCTTTGCTTCTCCTCTAAATTTTGTTGCTATTTGTTCTAAAATTTGTTTTGATCTTTGACAATCATTTATTGGTCTGTTGAATGTACCATTTAGTCTTCCTGTTTGTCCTGTCATTTTTGAGAAGTTTGCTCCATTGTTTGTTAATATCGTATTTATTCTTATTGCTCCATCTAACATTTTATTACTTGTACATTTGATATGTTTGTATCAGCTCTTAGTCGGTTTGCTAGCCTTGTAGTTGTCCATGCTATTCCTGGTTCATTTTCATCTACTAATGCATTTCCATCTAAAGGTGTTACATCTGCTTTTGTATTTGGTTCATTTCCTTTTGGTAACTGAGGATATGCTTCAAATATTTGTTCTATTATTCTTATCCATCCATCTGTTTCATTTTGTCTTCATGTTTAGAAATGAAAGTTGTTTTCTTTTTATCTTCCTTGGCTACTTCCATTTGCCAATATCCACTGGCTAAAGTCTAGTGACAAAAAGTATTTTGATCCTTCTAATGAATCAAAGATATCTGAGATTAAAGGTAAGGGATATTGTCTTGTTCTGTGTAGCTATTCAGCTTCCTATAATCTACACAAAATCTCAACTTATTATTTTTCTTTCTTTACTACTACTATAGGTGATGCCCAGCTATTGGTTGATTCCCTAATTATCCCATCTGTTTTATTTCCACTTTAATAAAGTCATTGTAGTGTGGTGGGTAATGGTAAGCTCTTTGATTTTGTGGGAAAGGACAAATTTGTTGCTATTGAATGGACTTCTTTTTGAGTATGCCCTAATTCATATAATCCTCCTGCAAACATATATTCATGTTTTCATAGAAATTTGACCAATTTTTGTTGTTAGGTTAATGTCAATTTCCCTATTTATAGTTGGCTTCTGCTCTTCTTTTAACTCTTCCCATTCTGCTGTTGTAAATATTCTAACCATTTGTTCTGGTTTATGATCTCCATT